TGGCCTCTTGTGTCTTTGTCTGGGTTTTGAATAATTAGGCTTCAGTGTTAGCAGGGCAATGGCTTTCTTTCCCTCCCCTCCCCCTTTTTGGCAGCATTTTGAGGTATTGTTGTTCAGTTTGCCTCAGGAATTCTACCTTGCTGGGGTTGGAGTCTTCTGCCTGGAATCAGCTAAAGCAACTTGCTGTTGCAGCCTTTGGGCTGCCTCAGATAGGAAGAGACTGCTACATAAGCTCCCCTAGCTTTTTCTTTCCACTGCCCACTCTACATGGGATTGGAAGGGAGGTTCCACAGACTAGACCCTAATGATGATTGGCCAGAGAAACGGAATATTGCCTGTAGCATTTCCTTCCTTCTCCTATGCTACATGGGTGTAAGGGGACATTCTTGCCAGGCAATAGCCAAGGCAAACTTGCTGTAAATCCACTTAAATTTAAAGATGTTTTTGTGTCCCCATTCAAGTGGATGGGGGTTCCAGAGACTTGGAAATTTGAATATCTGTCCAGCTCTAGGACCCAGACTGAATTATTATCTGAAGTACCAAATCAAAATGGACAATGGATTGACATGCCCAGCCCTTTTCTGACTCATTCTCTGGTTGTTTCAGTACCATGGAAAGCAACCATGCTTTTGTCTCATGAAACCATCACCCAGATCTTTGAACAAGAGAGGTACAGTACTTGCTTCTATTCCTGCCCCCATGCCAGCAGATTGGGAATCAAAAGTGCCCTAGAGATGTTTTCCAGTTCCTCCCAGAACTTGCCAGATTACAAAAAAAATTCCAAAAACACATTTGCTTCCCAACTCAAATACTTCAATTATTCTGTTTAACTAAATGTTTAGGAAATTTATGTTTCTCAATACACCAAATTATTTGGGAAGATGGAGAAAATACCCTGCAGTTTAATAGAGGCACGTCTGTTTTGTTGACTAAAAGTGGAGGTTTTGAAGTTGCCCCCCCCCAAAAAAAGGATGAATAAAATCAAAAGAACATAATGGGAAATCAGCAGGCATAATGTTTGGGGAGGGGGCACAGCTTCCCATCCAATGAAATCTTTCCATTTGTACTTTACCAAGAAATCTATCTCTGTCCCTTTAAAGTCTTGATCATCAAACAGTGTGGCTGGTTTCACAATCCAGGCACAGCATATTGGCTCAGGAAGACAATGATACCAGATCCAGGACGGTCTCCTCATCATACTGAATAACACAGCTCACCCAAGTCAAGGTAGGGAAAACAGTGCAGATGTTGTGAATCCCATTTAATCCATTTCTGATGCAAACATGTAGATGGATGTTAATTCTGTCTCTTCCTCAATAGCATGCATATTGTGGCTGATTATAAAACTGTTGCTTGTGGTCACCAGAATCTCTTGAGTAGAGAGGCTTGCATATTCATTTAATACACATTGCTTTAGTTTATGAGCTTCTTTTGTATGCATTATATTTGTCCTTGCAACTTCCCTTTTCTTCCTGTTTGTTTGTCTCTTTTAACTCCAGAAGAAACTTACACTATGACCTATGAGTATTGATGCCTGTTACCTTTTCCCATTCTTCAGTCTGGGAACAAAGGGCATTTGCAAGGCAGCTGAATTTAAAGATTTCGCACCCTTGCCCCTTCATTTCACCTCTCTGTTTTCCTGCTTTCATTCTATTTCTAAATGAGCATTCTTCAGCGGGTATGGGCTCCATGTCTGCTTGTAAAAGAGCTTATTAGTGTTTCTGAGGGCCATTTATTTCCATCTTTCCTCAGGGTGTTTTTATTTATAAATTCATTATATTTTTCTGCTTATCATGCTATGCATTATATTCCAGACAGACAGAGTAGGCTATAGTGACCAGAAAGTGCAATGTGAGAAAACTAGCTTCAAAAAAGAGTAATATAGGGTTAGAGGAGCTCAGTGATTGACCTAGGTTTATTGATTCCAAAAACCTAAATGGGTCATTTTGCACTGTTGAGATTCTGCAAGAAACCTTCAAGGACACAAAAATCTTCCTGAGGAAGAGCTACTCTGTTCTTGGTGAGAGGGAAAAAGCTCTTAACACATATTCACCTGAACAGACAGTCTGTTCTCCCTTTGCATCTTCAAATCAGTTTAATTTCCCCCACCCTCTTCCTTTCTCTTACCAGACATTAGGGACATGCCCGTCAGGCATTCATAGGGAGATCAGAACTAATTTTGTGTTACCACTGTGTGTGTCAATTTCTAATCAGGTTTACCAGGAAGAGACTAGGTAGATTCTCTCTCTCTCTTTTTCATTAAGAACAAGTTACCAGCTATCTGCACAGGGGTCCTTTGTACCCTGGTGGCAATTACATTATTTGTTTCCTCATTAGTGAAGGTTTTCCAGAAGTGATCCTGGTAGGTGGGAGATTGCAAAAAACCACATATTTCTCACAACTCCTTGCGTAAATGGCTAAGCCAGGAGTCATGGCAGAATCTTCATATATCCTCCCACCACAAGAGTGACAAAAGACCTCAGTGCCCCGGAGTTCTGAATCTGTTGCTAAACTATGGCATTCATCCAAATGGATCAATTTTTCTTTAACTAGAAAGTGATAGAGAGTAGAGGAAATCGCTGTCACTGACAAAGGGCTTATGTAAAAAGTTCAATGAAAAAATTATTATTGGAATTTATTTTATTTTTGCTGACTTAATAGTTTATCATTTAAGTTTGTGCAAGCTGCATTGGGTCTTGTTGAGTGGAGTATAAATAAGTAAAATGAATGAAATAAGAAAGTTGGGCAATATTACCCTTTTCTTCCTCCATACCCAACCATACTGTGAATCATTTTCTTGGGTTTGTCCAGTCTCTTTCCAGAATTTCCTCCCAGCTTTGTTCTTCCAACCTGCTTTCCACATTACCAGGTGCTGAAGCCTGACTCCTTTCTAGGTCTGGCCCAAAATAACAGAGGGCCAAACTACGTGTATCATTAATTACAATGATTTGTCCTTCCATGTGAGGTTTTCTTTTTAAAAACAGCCAGTGTGAAATGCCTGACCCAGTTTAGGATTACCATTTTCTGCTAAAGTCTCAGAAATTGGAGGAGGGCTAACATGGTCCCTGTCTTCAAAAAGGTGAAAAAAGAGGTATGTGGGAACAACAGACCAGTCAGCCTGATATCAACCCCAGGGAAAATTCTGGAGCAAATTATAAAACAATCACTCTGCAAGTAATAAATAGAAGCCAATGAAGATTTGTTAGAAACAAATCCTGCCAAACTAATTTCTTTCTTTTTTCTTTTTTGGTATTGGGTAGCTTCCCTGGTAGACGGTGGGAATGCTGTAGACATAATATGTTTTGACTTCAGCAAAGACTTTAACAAAGTGCCCCATGATATTCTGATTAGCAATCGACATTGGTGTGGGCTGGATAATGTAGGTGTCAGATTGATTACAGAATCATACTCAGAGAGTGCTTATCAATGGTTGGTTCTTTCTTAAACTTGGAGGAGGTGACAAGCTGGGTAGCACAAGGCTCAGTCCTGGGCATGGCACTCTTCAACAGTTCTGTTTATGACTTGGATGAGAGAGTTCAGGGAATACTTATCAGATTTGTGGATAATACAAAATTGGGTGGAATCGTTAGTACCTTGGAAGACAGGGACAAAATTCAAAAAGATCTTGATAAACCTGAGCACCGAGCTGAAACAACAGAATGAAATTTAGCAGAGAAAAGTGCAAAGTTTGCGGAAAAAAAACAAATCTGGGGAAAAAAAAATGAAATTTAGCAGAGAAAAGTGCAAAGTTCTACATCTGGGGGAAAAAAACCAAATGCAGTTACAAAATTAGTGCTATAAGTGAGAAGGATCTTGGAATTGTTGTAGACCACAAGCTCAATGTCAGCCAAAAGTGTAATGTGGCTTGAAAAAAACAGAATAAAACAAAAACTAATACTATTTTATGATACATTAACAGAAGTATACTCTCCAAATCCCATGAAGTATTAGTCCCCCTCTATTTGACACTGATTAGGCCCTATCTTGAGTACTGTTTCCAGTTTTGGACACCACACTTTAAGAAGCATGTCAACAAGCTGAAGCTAGTTCAGAGGAGGGCAACAAGGATAATCAGGGGACTGGAAACCAAGCCTGATGATGAAAGACTGAAAGAACTAGGCATGTTTAATCTTGGAAAAAGAAGACAGAGGGGAGATACGCTACCACTTTTCAATACTTGAAAGATACAGAGGAGGAGCAGAATCTGTTCTTGATCATCCCAGAATGCAGGACATGTAATAACAGGCTCCAGTTACAGGAAGCCAGGTTTCAGCTGAATATCAGGAAGACATCCTGACTGTTAGAGTAATGCAACAATGGAACCAATTACTTTGAGAGGTGGTGAGTGCTCCAACACTGGAGGCATTCAAGAGAAAATGGGACAGCCATCTCTCAGATCTACTTTGATTCGGATTCCTGCACTGAGCAGAGGGTTGGACCTGGTGGCCTTATAGGCCCCCTCCAACCCAGTTATTTTTTGTTTCTGTGAAATCACAGGTAATCTAAATGTGGGTTTTTAAATGTCAAATGCAGTGAACACCTTATGATTTTTCATCTTCTCTTTCCACCTACTCACACATGCTTTGGGCCACTTCTGTTTCTGCTTTCCCATGCTCTTGAAATATAATGGCAATCATCTGAGAATAAACTTCGGGAATGCAGTGTTCCCCATATATATATGGGGAACATTGCATTCCTGAAGTTTATTATCAGATGATACCGTATATATTTATTTGATTAGTTATTTTGACCATATCAAAAAGTGTACAAACCACACAGATCCAAAATAAAGAGCTAAAATACATTTCAATAGTGAAATATAAAACAACATATATATATTTTAATTGAGTGAGTCACCCCTGCAGGGAACCCCATACACTAACATTAATCATATCATTCAGATTGCAGATACAGCAGGATGTAAATGGAACTTGATGTAACACTTGAGTTACAGCTGCTCCCAGACTGCTCACTAACATCCATAGTTTATTGTCTTGCAGGCCAAAATGTCTGAGTTCACTGAAGGTTCTGACACCGTTCTGACCAATTACACTGCAATATCCCACAACTCTGGTACAAATGGGACCTCCATGGTTTTCCAGGGCTTGCAGCTGATACAACGGCTGAAGTTGTTAATCATCCTGATGTACACAGGTGTGGTTGTGATTGGGATGGTAGGCAACTGTCTTCTGGTTCATGTTATCTTGCGCATCAAGAAGATGCACAATGTCACCAATTTCCTCATTGGGAACCTCACTCTTTCCGATGTGGCTATGTGTGCCACATGTGTGCCACTGACTCTTGCTTATGTTTTTGAGCCACGTGGCTGGATTTCTGGCAGCACCATGTGCTATTTCGTCTACTTCATGCAGCCTGTCACTGTTTATGTCTCCATCTTCACCTTGGCCACCATTGCAGTGGACAGGTATGTGGTCATTATGCACCCGCTGCGACGCCGTGTGTCACTGCAGCTCAGTGCCTACATGGTTCTCTTCATTTGGATTCTCTCCTGCTGCTTGGCATTACCAGCCATGGCCCATACCTATTACGTGGAGCTGGATCAACAAGGAGTCACTCTATGTGAGGAGTTTTGGGGAGAGCAAGAGCGACAGAGACAAACCTATGCCTTGTGCTTGCTGCTCATCACCTACTGTGACAAACCCAGACCTACTGGGATCTATCACACAGTTACTAAGCTGCCACCAACCATTCCCTATAATAAGTCACACAGACCAGGGATGGATTTTTAAACAACAAAAAGAATAAAGTTTATTTTAAATACACACAGGGTATCTCTCCTGCTGCTTGGCATTACCAGCCATGGCCCATACCTATTACGTGGAGCTGGATCAACAAGGAGTCACTCTATGTGAGGAGTTTTGGGGAAAGCAAGAGCGACAGAGACAAACTTATGCCTTGTGCTTGCTGCTCATCACCTACCTCTTCCCTTTGTTGGTCATCCTGATCTCCTATATCAAGATCTCTCTCAAACTGAAGAATAGGGTCATGCCAGGAAGTGTGACTCAGAACCAGGCAGACCGGGACAAAGCCAGACGCAAGAGGACATTCTGCCTGTTGGTCATGGTAGTCATAGTCTTTGGGGTATGCTGGCTTCCTCTTCACACCTTCAACCTTATTCGGGACATTAACATCAATGCTATTGATTCCTATTATTTCAGCCTGATCCAGCTAGCCTGCCACTGGTTTGCAATGAGTTCGGCCTGCTACAACCCATTCATCTATGCCTGGCTTCATGACAGCTTCAGAGAGGAGCTTAAAAAAATGCTTGTTTGGCATAGAAAAGTAATTCCTTCTGGGCAAAGTATGACTGTAAGTGTTATTATCTGATCACCCCTCCTAAAGATTCATCTCTTCCAGTTAATGTTAGTGTGTTAATGTGCAAAATGATTTCAAGTTGTATGTTTGTCTAAACCATAAGTCCATATAAAATACATTCCTCTCATTTTCTGCAGATGATGCCTTTGATGAATGTATAGAGGAGGAAAAAAATTCAGGAACCCAGGTTTAGCATTGCATTCTGTATGTATTCCCTTTAAGGGTGGGTGTAATAATTTTAGTTCTTTCCTTGGTGTCATGTAACAGAATATTTTTCATATAGAGAATGGTGATGTAAATGCAATTAGCATCTGATTTATGTATTTTGGACTCTGCGGACACAGTGCACAATGTGTAATAAATACAGTACTAACTCGAATTAAAGGCATGTGCTTGCAAATGCCAGTAAAATGTCAAGATTTCAAACAATGTGTTATGGTTTGCACAGCTTTCTGAATTATCAACTGCTGTCTATTGTTATGCCTTGTCATTGTTGTAGAGATGCTAGATGCTGGACCCTCTCTCTCACTCTTATCAAACAAATCCATTGGCAACTACCCTAAACAGAAGCCACATCGACATCTGATTAAACTTTACATGAGAGGGCATCCTTATATGTTCAGACTGTATTACAGTAAGAGACTAAACTATGTAGCATGGGACATGTGAATTATCTCAGCAATGTCAGAATAGTTGTATTATCAGCACTGTGTTGTGAATGGTCACTGTGCTTATTTTGCATACATTGAAGCTTTGGTGTGATTGCCCTAGTTTAAGGTAAGCTTTCCATTTTGTCTCCCTACCATATGTGTGTAAAAGCCTCCCACCTGTGGAGAATGCTTCCTGCATCTGATAAAATGGACTCTCATCTATGAAAAGTTACATTATAATAAATGTGGTAAACTTCTGGATGCTACAAGTATATTTGCTTCTTTATTAATAAATTAATAGTATTATACCTCTGGAAACCATTTCTTTATTCACAAGTCCAGATTTGTTGACCAAAGTATGTTAAAACATTCAGATCACTAAATGTCTGTCCAATGATATAAATGGATTTAGTTTGACCAAAAATTAACTGCACCTTCAAATGATAACAGGCTTCAATTCCTGTAAGCCCATCTGCTATCTTGTACCTTTGTTCTTCCCAGAATCTTCTATTTTTATCTTGCACATCGTCCGCCTATATGACCAATGACCATGACATCTGGCCAGATTTTTTTAACTTCTTTGTCTTCCCCAATCCCCCAAATGTTGTGTCATCTATGCCTGAACCAGAGGTCTAGAAAATCTGAACATTTGCCATGTTTTCAGTACAACAACAACAATAACAACAACTACTACAAAAACAAAAACAACAATGTGCCATTAAATCGATTCTGAGTTATGGTGACCCTTTATAGGATTTTCCAGGTAGACCATGCTCAGAAGGGGTATATCATTCTCTTCGTCTGGAGGTACCTGAGGCCTCTGCAGTTTGCCCAAGGCTATACAGGCTGGCTCTTCTCCCAGAAGGCACAATTGGGAATTGAAATTCTCAACTCAGGTGCCACAGTCAAGTACCCAACGCACTGAGCTATCTAGCTAACTTTGCAGTATTTTACTGATCCAGTAAAGGTGCTTACCCATAATGAGACTGACAGATGAGTTCAAGAACAAAATCATTTCCCTTTTAAAAAAATCCACAAAATCACAATGTATAAATTGGAGATTTCTTTCCCACATTTCCTGTGTCCAAAGGAACAGATCCTGTTTGTTAAGATGGCCAAGGAAGATGTTTATCATCTGCCAGCTCAAGGGTAGTGTAGATTTCTCTCCAAGTTATTACAACCTCCTGGCAAGTAGAAGGGGAAGATATTGAGGCAGTGACAGATTTTACTTTCTTGGGCTCCATGATCACTGCAGATGGTGACAGCAGCCACAAAATTAAAAGACTCTTGCGTCTTGAGAGGAAATCAATGGCAAACCTGGACAGCATCTTATAAAGCAGAGACATCACCTTGCCAACAAAGGTCCGCAGTTGCGATGTATGGAAGTGAGAGCTGGACCATAAAGAAGGCTGACTGCTGGAGAATTGATGCTTTTGAATTATGTTGCTGGAGAAGACTCTTGAGAGCCCCCTGGACTGCAGGGAGAACAAACCTATCCATTTTGAAGGAAATCAATCCTGAATGCTCACTGGAAGGACAGATCCTGAAGCGGAGGCTCCAATACTTTGGCCATCTCATGAGAAGAGAAGACTCCCTGGAAAAGACCCTGATAATGGGAAAGTGTGAAGGCAAGAGGAGAAGGGGATGACAGAGGATGAGATGGTTGGACAGTGTCATCAAAGCGACCAACATGAATTTGGCCCAACTCCGGGAGGCAGTGGAAGACAGCTCTAGTCCATGGGGTCATGAAGAGTCAGACACAATGACTAAAAAACAACAACAAATTACAACTCCAAGTGATGCTTTGCATTTATGTAAACAGCAAGAGGAAGAGCTTTTTCATATTGTGTCTCATCCCTATGGATACTTTTGGTGGATGCAGTTTGCACATCTTCGTGAGTTAGTAAATACACTGGTGTGTGACTCCTAAAAGAATGAAGCTGTGTTGAACCACAAGACTAAAACAAAATCCAGAGTCCGCAGGTGGGCAATACATTTAGAACGTTGATTTGCACTGCTGCACAATCACACAGCTGCACTACCATGCAGGTACAATTGCTTTCCTTTTTAGGTGTTTAATGATTACATGATGACCAATATTTTAATATTTGTGTATTTATTTATTTATTAATTTATTCAAGTATTTCTAACCTGCCCTATAATGATGAATCTCAGAGTGGGCAAAATCAATAAAACTGATATTTAAAAGAATCTAAAGCAATCTGATTCAAGCTGTTCAAAACAATGTACAAATATTTTAAACAGTCTCCATAGTAAAAGAAAAAGTGACCCCACCCTCAATAAAATGCCCAGGGTTGCTATACCTCCCCCAACCCCCAGTTCTTGTGAATTTGGTTACTAAGTCTGGTTTTGGTGAACCAAGAAGGTGCCTGAATAGATTGACAGTACCAGGTTCTGGTGGTCCAATCCAGATAGCAGATACAGCCTAGAGTGACTAGGAGGAATTCAAAAGAAAACTGGAGATAATCTGTTAAATCTGCTTTGTTTTTGATTCCTGTGTTGAGCAGGGGATTGGACTCCATGAGCTTATAGGTGGCTTCCAACTAAATTATTCCATGATTCTGTAAGATACAGTTTTGTGGCCCTTCCTACATAGTCTGTTTTGATGAACACTCTTACCTGGACCTTTGATAATGAAATGTATTCAGGGAGTAGTATGGTGGCCATAATGGAATACATGTTGGTGTCCATTTTTTGGCTTGCTGAAATATATTGGACAAAATCGTTTTGCTTAGTGTGGTAATTTGCACCAGAGTAGGCTTATTGAATCAATGGAGATAAGTGAGTCATCTCCTTTGTAGATTCCATTAATTCATATTGGCGTACTCTAATTGTGACTTACTCTATTAAAGTACAGTGGCACCTCGACTTATGAACGTCCCTACTTATGACAATTTCGAGTTACGACCAGCTCCAGCTGCAAAATTTTTCTTTGACTTGTGGTTACGAACAGAAAAAGGCAGGGGAAAAAGGCAGGAAATTCAAATTTTAACTGTAGGTGGCGATGAGGCTGCTTCTTTGTAGCTCTTTCGCCCCAGCAGTTAGAGAGTGTGTGATCAGAGAAGGCTGCCTGGTAAGGTAAGGTGCTGTTTTCTGCTTTTTAAAAACTGTTCTGGGTGTTTTTGCAATGTGGTTTTGGGCTGGGGGGTTATGTTTCTGTGCTGTGATGGGTAATGAAGAGGGTTGTGGTTTTTTTGGGTTTTTCCCCTTGATTTCTGATCAATCTTGGGGGGTTTGGTTGCTTTTTGGAGTGTTTTTTCCCATTTCCAAAGGATCGGGGGGGTTGTTTTTCTCCCCATTTCTGATGGTTCTTGGGGGTTTGGTTGCTTTTGGGGTTTCCCCCCATTTCTGATGGGTTTTGCATGCTTCCCTTGCTTTTTCCTTTGTTCTCTGTGCACTTCTGAACTGCTCCTGTTGTTCTCTGTGCATTTCTGACCTGGCCCCTTGGTTCTCTGTGCATTTCCAATCTGCTCCGTTTGTTTTCTGTGCATTTCTGACGGGACTTGCATGCCTGATTGCTTTTCTCTCCCCCTCCCCTCAAGTCGGAAGGGATTAATCATGTTTCCAATGAGTCTTGCAGTGATTTTTTTTGGTGATTTTTTTCCCCTTCAGCCGGAATGGATTAATTGCATTTCAATGGGAAATGGTGCTTCAACTTATGACCATTTCTACTTACGCCCATCTTCCGGAACCAATTAAGTTCGTAAGTCAAGACACCCCTGTAAGTTGCAGTTAGAATAGGCCCAATAAATCAATGTAACTTATGGAAGAAATGATTTGTCAACTCACCATTGATTCAGTTTGCCTGCTCTAGTGCAATTTACTACATTAAGCAATATGATTTTGGCCTTTGGCTGAAATCCTATTGCAATTGATGTTAAATCTGAAGATGTTCATGGAGAGTTACACCCAGGTAGTCTATGTGTCTGATTCGCAATTAGTTGCACAATTGACTGCACAACTAGTTGAGCAGTGGTGTATGGAACTGCTTCCAGGATATGACTTCTGCCTTGGCACAAATTTTGCAATGGCTTGTCCAGCCTCAAGATATGCAGGCAAAGCTGTACAAGAAGATTTTGAATAATGGCTATAAACCACTGGCAAAATCACACAAATGGATTATCACTACCTTAAAGATATTCTTATTTTTAAGGAGCCACAACACCCAGTTTTCATATTAGAAAGTTACTTGAACAGAAGATGGGAAAAAAGAACTAGATTTACATTGACTGTTCACAAAGAGAACCAATTTTCTTGCATTCATTCTAATTCTGTCAACTCAAGTCTGTAACCTATTCCAATTTTCTATGTGACCCAAGGCTAGACTTTTGTGGCTCCATCCATTTTAAAAGATGGTAGTTCTTTCTCCCAGATAATAAGCCTGACATTCTCTGCTGTTTCCTCATTATTCACAGATGTTCTGGGGGGGGGATCCTTTCATTTTAATTTGGGAGGGGCAAATTAAAGAGTGAACATGAACTTGATGTAGATGCCTTGAGTCCTTCACTATTATTTATATGTTGCTAAATTGCCTCTGATTTATGGTGATTTTATGAATGAGACATTTCCCAAATGTCCTTACCAGGATCTTTCCCCAGAGAATCTTACCTTCTCATGATGTGCTCAAAATACAACAGCCTCAGTTTCATCACTTTTGCCTCCAGATATAGCTCAGGCTTGACTTACTCTAAGACCCACTTGTTCATCTTTCTGGCAGTCCAGAGTATCTGCAAAACTGTCCTCCAGTTCTGGGAATCTCAATCCAGGAATGCCCGGGTTACCCAAAATGGGCAACCACTGCCACAGAGGAACAAAAGACTGCAACTGCAGCTTTCCTAGAAATGCACGTTAAAGTTTTCTAGAAATTAGAGGAACTCATATTGCCACTCTCTCTGCAAGTAGGAGCCCCCTTCACATGTTCCTGCTCATTGTGGTAAAGTGGAGTAATGTGTGGATAGGGATGCTGGGAGCAGAGCTGGCCTGGGCAGCCCATGACAAAGACACATATTGGTCTGATGGCAGACATTCTCTTTCTCCCTGGCATTTACATTTCAATTCACAAAATCCATCGAGCACATTAAGTCACAATGGTGAGAGAATTCAAATTTCCATCATTCTCTATACCACTAGACATCCAGCATGTATGTAGGGGCAGAATAGACTGGAAGGGAATGGGAAATGGAAGAGAGTATTGCATCCACACAGGAAGGATCACTGGATCTGATTGCAAGGAAAAGGCCCTTCCACCTAGGATGTCTTGCTACCTTGGATGCATTTCAGAATCGTGCTATTCTTTTCTGTAGAGGGACTCTCTTTGAACTGTGAGTAAGGACTGTGTATAATAATATAGCCAATGTTAAACTTTGAGTAAAGGGTTCTGCGCTCAAAGCCTTGCCTAGGTGACTAATAGCCTACCTCACAAAGTTTAGAGCATTGATAGCCCTTTGGACCTAGGAGGAAGTGGAGATAAATATAACAAGGTAGTAAATGTTAGGTTCCTAACCTTAACAATCTGCTCTATCAATGCCAGATTTTGCATCTACTAGAACAACCAAAAAGCCAGGAGAGGTTGTGTGAATCCAACTCAGTCACAGTACAGTGGACCCTCTACTTGCGGGATTAATCCATATTGGAACGGTGGCTGCCGGTAGAAAAGTCTGTAGGTCGAGTCTCCATTGACCTACAATGCATTGAAAACCGATTAATCCATAACTGGCCGTTTTTGTTCCATTTTGGTTTTTTTTTCTGGTCCGTAGGTTGATTCTCCGGCTGCAAGTCGAACCTGAATTTTGCAGCCAGAGAAGTCTGCAACTCGAAAAGTCTGTAAGTCAAGCCGTCTGTAAGTCGAGGGCCCACTGTACCTAGAGAAACAGAGCTCCTCTCCTCCAGTGACTTTAAGACTGCACTTTCTCACATTAAAAAAGTGGTAGGTCAGCAAGAGCTGGCAGCCTACAAAGTGACATACTAAAAGAGCCATAATTACTAATTTTAATGCTGGGGGCTTTGATGTCCTGTTGATAAAGCTTGGGTTACATGAGACTGCCATATGTGGGGAGAAAATGGATGAATGTGGTGGCCCAAAATTAGTCTACCTGTGTTGTATTTTTTTTGTATCAAGGAAGAGTGGTTGGAGATGGTATGGGTACCTCAGGATGGTGTGTTTGCACCCTTCTTGTAGCAAATTTGGGGGTCTTTAAATTTTGGCATCCTGGCCCTGGATTACCCAACCCTGGTTATGAGAAACACTTCTTTTTCCTTTCCTTTACTCTCCTCTCCTTTTTTCTTTTAGGTTGCTTACACATGCAGAAATAAACTAACATGACTACCTTTTGAAAATGAACAATACAATGATAAATCAAGTTAAACAGGAGTGGCTTCACTTGAACAACAGACCAGTGATGTCGGAATCATGCTGGTCAATATTTGCAGGCTCATTCTCAAGATACCTTTATGGTAGATTTCTGTGAAAGCCCTTACAGTTACAGGAATGATCTCTTCTCATTTTAATTGTTCAGTAAGTACAGTAGTAGATGATTGATAATAACACCAGAGATCTAGGGAAAATGCCATTTCTGGAAGATGTATGAAATTTGAAATTTCTTGTGAGACAGTGTCTGTAGATAGGTTCATGCAAAGTAACTTCAGTATGAAGAAACAGATATAAGTCCGTTGACAGCACTGGTTGGAAAAGAAGGGCTGCTGTGATCACAGAAAGAGTCCATAACTAAATCCAGAATCCAGTTACAAAGTATTCTATTTAAGTCAATTTATTCTAATTGAACTCAATCAGCCTAAAATCAGCTTAAAGCCCAAATCCTGTAGTTTACTGGTGGGTGGCCCACAGCCAGTGGTTCTGATAATGTTAGGAAGAGTTAATTAGCATCTTGAGAAAAGGCACTAGCAGAAGCATGCCCGACACAGCTTGGCATCCAGGAACATATCTAACACAGCTTGGCATCAGAAGAATAGATGGCATTTGGAATGTGATTGGAAATTAAATGCTATTATGAAATCTTGATTCTCCTTGAGTTCCTCAGTGCATGCTGTGGGTTGTCTGCACATGCCTGAAAGGCTGCAATGCTTTTTGAACTACACTTCCAAGAATCTTCCAGCTAGCATAGCCAGTGGCCATGTTGCCTGGGGTATCCTTGAAGCTACAGTAAACAAACAAATACCCAAATCTTTTTCAAGCTCTGTTTCTTTAATAGCACTGCAGTGATAAACTGAATGCGTTCCTTTGAGACAAGGACCATAGGAAGACCAAATATTGGCATTGCTCTCTGGTACAGCAGAACGGCTACTGAAAACCAGGATGAAAATGCTGCTAGCCTTGGCCAGCATAGAGGGCTATAACAGTCTGCAATACCAAAGGACATAATCATCTGTCTGCATCAGAGTGCTATGAGGAGAGAGCTCTTAACTTTTCATCAGTTGCTTGGAAAATAACTGTGACATTCTCTGAATGGAGATGTTTATGATTCTGAGCACGGGCACAGAGTGACAAAATATTTTCTGGATTGCCATAAATGAAATTAATGTTTGTTGGTATAAAGAAAATAATTCAAACATAAAATAAAAAGTGGCAGCCAAGAGACGATTATGATTCTGCCTTAAGTGGTTTTATATTTTCCGCACTTTCTTGACTGAAATCATTTTCAATCACAAATAGGCAGACAGAATGGCAACGTAAGTACTAAAGTAGTCCTAAATTCTAAGCTGCTATGTTGAGAACAAATGAAATAACAAACTCTTTAACACAATGCATCCAAACAGCTGTGCTGAAATGACTAGATCTTTCAAAACAAAAATGAAATGTCACTTTGAGCAATGTCAGTCTAGCAGGTTCAAAACATAATTTCCATATTCCTTTTAGCACTACAGATGTACTGAAAATAAACAATGTAAATGTAAGGCTTCTAAATGTACATTAGAGCCCAGTAATTAGAGTCCCCAACACACTCATAGCTGAATATGAATCAATGCTACATATAGATTGCCCAGCAGGTTCGATCAACTTTTATGTAGCTGAGTCCCTCTAGTGGTGTCAGCATATTTAGAATTAGTCCATTGCTTAAAAGTCAAGAGTGGCAAAGCCAGATTTTGTTTCAGGAGTCTTACCAAGACATCCAGGACGATGGAGTCTCCACCCAGATACTGCATGATAAAGTTCTATTGTTTCATGACATAGTGGTGTGGAGATGCATGACAAGAAGAATAATGTGTTTCACGAACGAAAGATGGTTTAAGGAAGGCATGTAAGGAATACATGTAGTACCCCAGATAGCCAATGGAGGTACGTCCTTCCATAGTACATTCATAATGAGTAAGTAGCAAAGGCTGCTAAAAGCATTGCTCTGCGCTTCATAATACATAAAGCAGGGCTCACTTTCCCTCCCTCTCCCTCTCCCCTCCTTCCTTTTGCTCTCACAGAGAGAGAGAGAGAGAGAGGATACAGACAGATCTGGCTACGGAGTTTGGACAGAAAATAAACTGGAAGCAGCAGATGTCAAATGGCATATTCAAGACAATCACTTAGCCTCTAGTGACAACCACTGTGAGTATACTACACAGTACTGGCTGTAATTATCTACTCAGTTGCATGTTTTTGAAGCTATTGGTTTAAGCTGAAGTACAAGTCAGAATTTGAGCAGGCTGATTGCATCTGAAGTGACCTTTCTTATAAATAAATTTTAAAAACAGTGTTGAGGCTTACACCTTTGTTCTGGGTTTTATTCTGTTTTGTTGTTTTTGCAGATGAATATACACTCATTTTGAGGGTGGCCAAGACAGAATTGATTCTTCAACCGATGTGAACAAAACTGTAGGTGTGTATGTGTCTGCCTCTCTGTGTGTGCTCGTCTCATGTGTGGAACTGGCAGCACAACCACAAAGGAGAAAGATGACGAACCCGGAGAATCTGACTTCCCAGAGCTTGCTTTCCACAATCCACAACAATGCTAGCAACCTCTTCTTGGGGCTTCAGGTAGTCCAGTTCTTCAAACCTCTGATCATTCCTTGTTATTCCCTTGTGGTTTTCATTGGCATCATTGGGAATTACCTCCTCATCTATGTTATCTGCAAGACTAAAAAGATGCACAATGTCACCAACTTTCTGGTGGGCAACCTGGCATTCTCTGACATGCTCATGTGTGCTACCTGTGTTCCCTTGACCCTAGCCTATGCCTTTGAGCCCAGAGGGTGGATCTATGGACATTTCATGTGCTACTTCGTATTCCTTATGCAACCAGTCACAGTGTTTGTCTCTGTCTTCACCCTGACTGTCATTGCTGTGGACAGGTACCATGCCATGATTTATCCACTCCAAAGGAGGCTCACAATACCAATCTGTGCCTATATTCTGGCTGCTATTTGGATATTAAGTTGCATTCTAGCTGTGCCTGCCTTGGTCCACACTTACCATGCAGAATTCCCAGAGCTGGACTTCTCTATCTGTGAAGAATTTTGGTTCCATCGGAAGAGGGATCGCCTAGCTTATGCCTATAGCACTCTCATCCTCACATATGTCCTGCCTTTAATCATAATCTCTGTGTCTTACCTGAAGATCTCTGTCAAGCTGAAAAACCGAGTTGTCCCTGGCAATGTTACTCAGAACCAAGCTGAGTGTGACCGAGCCAGAAGACGGAAGACCTTTCGCCTGCTGGTTCTGGTGGTAGCAGCTTTTGGAGTTTGCTGGTTGCCTCTGCACATCTTTAATGTGATTAAGGACATAGATATCAAACTGATAGACAAGCAGTATTTTAACCTTATTCAGCTCCTCTGCCATTGGTTTGCCATGATGTCTGCTTGCACCAATGCCTTCCTTTATGCCTGGCTACATGACAGCTTTAGAGGGGAACTGAAGAAAATCTTTGCTTGCCGAAGGAAAAAGACAGGACCGGCCACCAATTGTATCATGGCCAGTGTGGTGCTGTAAATGGGGGCTTTCTCCTAGGGCTGTCTTGCCTCTCCCATCATGAATGTTACAAGTCTTTGTACTATGACTGACACGTGAGTTTTCTCAATGGGTAGTGGGCTGCCAAGTTTAATGTAACCCAAATTATGCACCATACAACTGACTTTTTTTGATTGGAATAATTTACATGATTGAAGGAAGTTTGCAGACAATTTCTTGCTTTGCACACACTACCCTGAAAATATTGCTGCTGTATATGTAAATAGTGAATTCTTCAGGTTAGAAGGAAGGAAGGTAAAGGAAGGTAAAGGAAGGAAGCAGCTATATTTGACTTCTAGTAAAGAGCAGCAGCCACGTAAAGAGAAAGGTTACGATGAGACAGGATCTGAAAATAAAGAATGAGGTATTGTAATACCAATGAAATCCTTATGGTCCTTAAAGTAGTGTGAGTCAATGTGTATGAATTTCATATTCTCCAGTTGTTGCTCAGTTTTGCTAAAAGCAAAAGTGTACGGAGGAGTTTTAAGTTTCTCCTGAGGGAAAACATGTGGGGAGTGTTGACAGAAATGAATAACTTGATAATATGCTTCTCCTTATTTAGTGCATTTCTACCAGTGGTTCCCAAACTTAGGGTTGCAGGTATTCTGGGACTACAATGGACAGATGTTCTGACCATTGGCATGCTGACCAGTATTTCTGAGAGTTGGAGCCCAGGAACATCTGGGTCCACAAGGGACCACTGGTTGAAATCTTATAGGTGTTTGCCTAAAGTTTGCATAAATTGCCATGGTTAATTGCAGCTAACTGATTAGGTGTCAAGACACAACTCAGTTGTGTAATTGGGCATGTGACCAGGCATGTAACGAGTACATGCCCCAAACCTCATCAATTAACCACTGTTATGCAAACCTCACAAAAATACCAATAGGATTTGTGCTATTGACTCCCTTTTCTTGTTTGATTATCTGTTCATCCATTCATTTGTTCCATTTGTATCCTGACTTTCCTCCAATAAGTTCAAATCAGCACACATAATTCCTCTCAGCACAGCTTTTATCCTCACAACAATACCAGGAGGGGGATCAAGATGAGAAAGAGAAAGAGGCCGAGGGAGACATGGTGAGTTTCATGGCAGAATGGGGACTTGAACCTGTGCGTCCCAAGTCTCAGTTCAGCACTGAGATATAGGCATGTTTCTAGGTGATCTCTCATCCAGGTTCTCAATTAGACCATTTAACATCAGTAAGATAGATGAATCATGCAGCATGCTATGGAGCCAGCAAGATTTTCCTGGCCCAATACACTGTATGTGGACTGGAGTATTGTCCAATACATGTAAAAGAACACTGAGGTGCATATAAATGAGGTCCTTTAATTTTTATTTGCAGATATCAATTAGTATGATCTAAAGGCATCTTATCATAGCATAAAACCATAACCAAATTAAATTGCTGTATATGTTACCTCTGTTTGAACCTCTTTGCTTTATTTTTCAGTATAAAGCAGAGGTGGCAAGCCTTTTGTCTGCAAAGTGCCATTGAGCCATATGAGTGTGTGTGTGTGTGTGTGTGGGGAAATCAGACAGGTTGCATTCAAGTAGTAAGAAGTATAAAAGACAGCATGCCAGCACAATGTATTTCTTAACAGTTGTATTCCCATACTAGGGAAAGCTTAAAATGTATTTTTGCCTACCATGCATTTGTTGAATGACTCATGGGCTGTAATTTCCCCTGGTGCCTATCCTAAACCATTCAAAGACTGACATTTTGTGAAAACCAGTTGCGATATTGTTATGACTTCCATCAGTTGATCATAGATGCCACAGTCAGACCAGCCCCTCCCCCCAAAAATCCCCTTTTCTCTCTTCCCCCCTCTCCCCATCTCTGTATAAACAGATCAAGAATTTGTAGCAACTAAAACTGAAGTGCTTAAGTGTGCCTAAATTCAAGCAGATTTTTAAAAAATCCTTTAAGATCACTTGTGGTTATGCATTATTCTTCATTATGTAAAAAGTGTTATCCTCCCTTTATATTTCCAACAGCAAAATGCCCCATACCCCCCATGGGATAATAATCATCCCTTTTCCTCTCCCCCATCTTGGTATTCCAATCAACATAATTTCAAAACTCTATTTAGGAAGGCAGGCAGGAAAATAACAAAATAACAATCCCAGATTTCACTTCAAGGTTGTTGTATGTTACTCTCCTACAACAATCCTGCCCTTACTATATGGGTATAACTTCATTACTTTCCTGGTGGGTATTACTGCTACTCTCTTGGATGATATTACTCCTACTATCTAAACCAGAATCCATCAACCCTCATGTAAGTGAACTAATGATGAAGTTTTTACATTTGCATCAGTAGGATGGGTTTTGAATGTTTGAAAACACTGATGTTACACAAGCACCTGTTTTCTCCTAACATAGGCCGTGAAACCCACAACTCCTTAACCCCACTTTTAAGTTTAAGTAAGGATGTGCATTTGGATTCGGAAATATTTGGAATTCACCATATAATGCCATAGTCAGATAGTTCTGAATATATCCAAATTTGACATTTCCAAATATCTGTAATAATAATTCTTAATATCCTGAGTCCCACTTACTTCTATAGATTAAAAAGCAAAAGACTGGGTTTCTGGTTGCTAGAGGAAGAAGTGAAAGTAAAAACTGTTTCTCAGGCATCCTGGAGTGAATTTTTGAGAAATGAAACTTAAAGACACTTTGAAATGAAAGGTAGTGAAGGCAGAGTACTTGGTGTCTCCTTATTGGGGTTAACATGGGTTTCGCAAAGGAGGAAGGCTGGGATAAGAGCAAAACCTGTAAATGATATATATCTGCACCCATGATATCTGGAAAGGCACAAATACCAGAAAGGTTTTTTTCACATCGGTTCTTTCCAATTGAAAGGTGGGTTTAGCTTCTTATAAATCCTTTGAGCACTTGCTGTTAGCATATGCTCTGGTACAAGCCTGCGCTGTAGCAGTTTTCTCTGTGTCCTTTTCTGAACCTTCCATTTACATTGTCATTCTCTACATCTTTTTGTATATTGTTTACTTAATGTAGTTAAGAATAAGAATTAGGATTAGTAGATCTATTAGTACACTATAAATCAACAGGAAATATTCTATGAGGTTAGGCTCCTTTGGGTATATCAGGCAGGGGAATAAGATTTTGTTAGATACAGTGGTGCCTCGCATTACGATCGCTTCGTTTAACGACAAAATCGCAAAATGATGTTTCCTATGGGGGAATTTCGCTTTGCGATGATCGGTTCCCTGCTTCAGGAACCGATTCTTCACAAAATGACAATTTTCCAACAGCTGATCGGCAGTTTCAAAATGGCCACCGGGTGAATAAAATGGCTCCCCGCTGTGTTTAGGGACGGATTCCTCACAAGACAGGCAGCGAAAATGGCCTCCCTATGGAGGATCTTCGCTGGACGGTGAGTTTTAAGCCCATCGGAACGCATTAAACAGGTTTTAATGCGTTTCTATGGGCTTTTAAATTTCGCTTTACAATGTTTTCATGCTACAGCGATTTTGCTGGAACGAATTAACATCGTAACGCGAGGCACCACTGTATAGGAAGATCTATTAAGTGAATTGATTCTCTCTCTCTCTCTCTGTGATTTTCATTGGAAGGGGTTGTGTTCTTCTGTAGCAGAATCAGATTCTTTTCTTCTTTGGGTAGAGTCAGCAAGCAGAATGGTAGATGTATTCGGCACTTGGAGAAGAATGCTGCTTACCCCAAGGCATCAGCTTTTGCTGAAAGAAGTGGAAGAACAAGAAGAAAAAAATAGCATACAACTCCAATAATGAGCCCCTCAAACAATATAACAATGTTCCACCAATACCAGCAATATGACAATATTCAGTTGTTATATTGGTGACTGAACCTTGACCCATCCCACTCCAGGTTCAACCCACATCATGGCATGGAAATGGCATTGGTGGCCTTGCAGAATTACCTTTTGAGGGAGACCAACAGGAACAAGATGTCCCTACTGGTCTCCTTGACCTCTCAGCAGCCTTCAACCTGGTGAGACTCTCTGGGTGGGAGATTGGTGACTCGGCTTTGTCCTGGCTCTGATTCTTCCTAGAGGACTGTTCTCAGAGAGTGCAACTTGGGGAGATGATGTCCATTCCTTGAATTGCTTGTTTTATCGCACGGTGAATTGCCCAGAGTGTTGGTAGCCAGATGGGCAGTATAAAAGTAAGTAAGTAAGTAAGTAAGTAAGTAAGTAAGTAAGTAAGTAAGTAAGTAAGTAAGTAAGTAAGTAAGTAAGTAAGTAAATTTATTTATTTATTTGTTTGTTTGTTTGTTTGTTTGTTTGTTTGTTTATTTATTTAACACCGTCACTAGGAAAGGCCAGTGGACAGAGAATTGTCTTCGACTAAACAGGTCCCTGGTGTCAAAACTGTTGGGATCTACTGATCTGCGGCAACAGCAATGCTGCTGCTTCTGTGGTTGCAAAGGAGATTTTTTCTGGCCTGAAGTGGTGCTCCTGGCTAGCAAGCACTACAGGTTTGCCTCCTGGTGGGAAAAGAAGGAGTACATTCTACCAACCACCTTGGACCCTCAAATTAAACAGTGAGCACTGAATAAGCAGCAGCAAAGGGAGCGGCAATGCTAACCTACTGTCCATCACATGCAGCAGCAGCTAGTGAAGAAGGTCTGGCTAGCACTGAGGGGTCACACATAGCAGGAAGAAACTAGTAATGCCCATAGCATCCAAAATAGCAGTACCAGCAGTTCCATTCTCGATTCCAGGTCTCTCACCCCCTGCAACAACAGAGCAAGCTTTCTGGGACTCTTGATAGTGTAGAAGATTATCCTCAAGAGACACCAGCCCAGAGCAAGGACATGGCAGAAGCAAAGAGACCAACCTCTTGTCTTACCTACCAATAAGTGTGGCCGTGATAAAGTGTTCCCTTAGGCAGGGGACATTGTCAGCCCATGCCACTAACACCTGCAACCTAGATCTGGTTAAACCGCTGTACTGCAGCCAAAACTGTGCTCACGACCTGGGGTTCAATTCCAGGTAGCTGGCTCAAGGTTGATTCAGCCTTCTATCCTTCTGAGGTCGGTAAAATGAGTACCCAGCTCGCTGGGGGGGAGAGAATGTGTAGCCTGCATAATTAACTTGTAAACCGCCCAGTGAGTGCTTGAAGCACTATGGGGCGGTATATAAGCATCACGCTTTGCTTTGCTTTGTATTTGCTAATTTGCTAGTGTTTGATTTGCTATAGAAAAATCACGTTTTGGAGAAACAAAATGTTTAGAAGCCTTGTGTTAACTACTATTCAAGGAAATATATTAATTGAGCACTCTTGCAGTTGTTTCCAGGACAGAT